GATAGTGCATTAATTTTTATATGCAGATTTTTGGTACTATTCCATTTTGCCGGCACAAACGATAAAGTCGCCAATAATCGCACAACTGATGCCAAACGGAATACCTTCGCTGGTTACCTTTTACACCTCATTTTCAAAACAAGTCGCAGCCATTTCTTACCAGATTAATTGTTTCTTTCAATACTGGCATACAATTACATAGAATATTTACAAAAATTAAATTTTATGCCCTAAGACCATTTGTGGTAATTATGTCAATTAAGATGCAATCACACTGCTCACCCAAAGGTAATAATACAGAAAAGGAAAAATCAAGGGTTAAATTCATCAATTCTAATGAAAATGCACTAGCGAAGTAAAGCACTACGGTTTTACATAATTTCTGAGTAAGCTATTCGTTTGAATTGAAATAATTCTTATTGTCTTTATTTATTCGCTTTTTACAAAATTTTCCATATTAAAATGTTTATGCCTTCAAAATAAAAAATTCTTAGAACTAACATTTGTTAACATTTTTTAATGTGTATACTGTATGTTGTTGCCAACAAAGTCTGCTTGGCGAGATTTGCGCTGGCGAAACAGAAAAGTAGCAGATTTTTTTAGTACGAGTATAATACTGAAAAATGTTTTGGAGATTTGTAGTAACTTGATAAAACTAGCACATAAAGTTAGTCTATAAATACCAAAAGTTAGGTGTGGCATGGATGCATAAAATGTATGTATATTTTATCATTTATTACCACAAAATAAATAAAAATCTGCTAAAAATTGTTAATTTTCCAATTTGTTAATACAGAGATTACTTCTTACTGCTGAGAGTAAAACAAACAATTATAAAAAATTAACTACAGCTAACACAAATTTAACTCTGTTATTACCAGCATATGCTTCAAACGTGTTATATGATGCTAATAGTCTTCACCAATAATTCATCAATAATTTAGTAAGTTGTAGTGCACTAAAGTAGTAGTACAGTACGAAGTCCACAATCCGGACTCGTAGAGACTTCGGTGATTCCGGATTAAGGGTTTTTCAGGATTACAGATCATTAATTTAAATCTGGTAAGATGGCATGCACAAATTATACAATTAAAAATATGAAACCATAATTTAGGAAATAAAGAGCAATTATGATCTAAAGGGTTCAAAATTTACAAAAAAAAAAAAAAGGCTTAATATTTATTTGTTTACTTTATTAAACATTTTTTTTCATTGTAAGTTGCTTCGTTTTTTGTGCTAAATGCACGTAACATTAAACGCGCATGCATAAAGCATACAAAAAAAGAAAAAGTTTGTGGCTTTGAGGTCCGGATAATGGGCTACCGGATACCGGATCTGCTGGATAATGGACGTCCAGATTACAGACTTTGTACTGTAATAGGTTTTTCTAGCATAAAACCTTAACGGTTATATGCAACGAAAACATTAGACTTTTTTAAACCTTTATATGTACTGCACTAAGGCATGTTTGATTAATTTTAATTTAGCATACTTACTGCAAACCTTATCATAAAATTCAATACAAAGTGTATCCAGTTATGTTGGTTTTGCATGAATAAAGTCATGCTACTGAAGAACCAGTTCAATTCCTTTACAATGTTATATACAGAGCTAATTGCTACACCTGGATCTCTGTCTTGGGAACCTCAAGGAGCCTGCCATATCGGGGTTGTATTATTCAAGGTCCAGAGACCTTGCCCTTCAGCAGTGCAGAACCCACAGTTCCTCCCCGGCTTTATACAAAGTGTAGAACAGAAACTAAACCGCTTTGACAAATTATAACGCTAAGACATCTTTGCTTCCGGGCACCACTCCATTGGCATCGATAAGTACGCTTGGTGCTCTGTCTACTCTATTAGTCCCTCCCCCCACTGGAACTACTAAGGCCAAACCCCCAGGGACTCAGTTACTAAAATGTTATATACAGTAGATTTTTCCTCCCTTTTAACTTTTTTTTTTTTTTTTTTTTTAAACTTTCTTCTAACTTCTTTAACAAAATTTTTCATTTGGAATATAGTATTAGTAACAGGTATGACACCTGCAATGTCTTGCAATCTATAGGGCAATATTAATATATATAACTAACAGATAGATAATACATCTTTTAAACAGGATGGTTTTAACTCATAAAACAGATTAATATATAGTAATACTGAAAATTGTTTCAAAAGATTACAGTAAAGTTAAATTAATCGCTTGCCTGATTATCCCGAGTTATCTCGGGTTCGTATATATTGCAGTTAATTATTATCCCCAGAAAACTCGGGCGAAGCAGAATTTGTTAGTACGATTTCTTTTATCACGGTTTTACTCGGTCTGGAGGAAATGAAGGAAATATTTAGCTTTGATTGGCAGTTTGCCAAATTTTGTTGGTTGTGCGGTTCTTTTGGAGGGACTGGTCGCTTGTTTCCCTATTTGGGAAAAATAAAATAAGAGCATTGGAGAAAAATAAAATAATGGTGATGATGCAAGATAGCAAAAGCGATGATTTTTCAGATAGTGATTATTAAAAGGTTGGGAAAAAAAATAAAATGAAATCCAACGAGACAGTGTACTCTGTGCTCCAGTGAAAGAGATTCCAGCGATAAGCCAGTAAAATAAGAGACCAGATACAAGTGTAGAACGTCAGGTACTACTCTGTGCTGTCCCTTGTTTAAAAAACTATCATACAAAGATTAATATTTAACTTTTTTTTGTTTGTCCGAGATAACTCGGGATAGTAAACTAATATTAATAATAAATGCTTTTACACCTTCAAAAAATTAAAAATTCAACTTAAAACCTACATATTTTGATTTGTTTCATTTTGTTGTATTTAATAATAAAATAAAAAAATGTCATGATTTTTTGCAATTTTTTTCAAAAAAATTTGTAAGGGAAGCGGTTAAATTTAAATAATTCTCTTGTGCCATTGTTGCAAGGAATGTGCCATTGCTACATAGGTTTGGAAGCAACTACGCCTTGATAAGTCTGTCTCCTGCCTGCTCTACAATTATTCACTTATGCAATTTTATAAATTTTTAGAATTAAAAAATTTATTGGAATTATATATTTATTCGTAGATTTTGATACTTGCACTTGATTTACATATGCTCTCAGAATTTAAATGATATTGTCAATTAGTTTGTAGCAATAATCAATAAATTATTTGTAATTCAATTTCATTTAAAATTTAACTTTTTACGAGTAATACTTAATTACTTTTTTAAAATTAATAAAAAAGTAATTAAAAAAAGTAATACTTAATTACTTTTTTTAATTTGCTTTTTACGAGTAATACTGAAATATATTTTCTCTTTCTTATGATTTTTCTTTCTCAGAAATACTTTATTCTTACATCTTTGAGTCAAAAATTACACAAGGATTTTCAACTGTAATAGTTGTTGTGAGCCCCATATGTTTGAAAAGGTCGATAGTATAAAAGTTATAGCTTAGCATATTTTGACATTACACAATTCGCTACAATTAAAAACCTGATGCGGACACCACATGACTTCCTTGTACGGAATATTAAATTATATGCATTTTTTCCCACATTTCATTTAAACTAATTTCTTCCAATTTCATTAGAAATATATTTCTCATTCAATTAATTCAGTTCTCACTTTGCGGCAAGGCAAAAATACATAAAACCTCAAAACGTCTTTCTTAAAAAATGAAAAACATAAAAATATAAAGCACCAAATACAGTTAAAGCAATTAAAAAACATTTTTAGAATTACAATTAGAGTTTCTATGCAAAAACAAGCAATTCAGCTAGTGGGCAAGAAGTCATATTTTTTGGTGTACAAAACTTAAAGTTTACTTTTGGTCCCACTAGGAAAAAAGTGCAGAAACTGACTTTATTTACTATTCTGATAAGTTTCAAATGTAAGCAAATATGGCTGCTATAGTAAAAAATTTAGGCTTAGCTGCACTTAAACAACTTTTAAATTGTTAATTCTAAAAGTACTGCATGCAGATTAAATAAAGGCATAAAAAACTTAATCAGAAGATAAGACCAACATAATTCAATCATTTTAAAGCAAAAAATGCACAATTTACCATCATTTATTCTTATGAATAAAAAAAAACTGATCTCATGGAGCCGAGTAACTGAATACTTTTGGTGTGGCCGATTGCAACCAAAAAGGGAGGTGCACAACTACATGTTATAAAAATCCTACATACAAAATTTCAACGTTCTGAGGCTACTTGCTTTTGAGTCATGTGAGATACATCCATATGCATATAGGTACATATAGACATCACGAAAAAATCTCTTCTGAATCAATTTTCAAGACTTTCGGCAACCCGTTTGGGGGGGAAGAGTCTTTTATTCTGTAAGTACGTACAGATGTCACATGAAAACATCATTAAATTGCATTCGATATACAAAATTATATGCATCATTAAATTGCATTGAATTATATACAAAAATCCTATATACAAAATTTCAATATTCTGAGGCTACTTGTTTTTGAGTTATGCGATACATCCATACACATATACGTACGTACAGATATCATGAAAAAAATTTCTTCTGAATCCATTTTCAATACTTTCATCAACCCGTTTTGGAAAAACAGTCCTTTATTCTGTCCATACGTACAGATGTCACACGAAAGCATCATTAAATTGCATTCAATAGCAGTCAAAATGGATATTTTCGTTGAAATATGATAACCAAAAATTTTCTCAATTACAATAATTCATACAAGGAGGTAATAATTAGGTTTTTGCACAATGTACTAAGCAAGCAACAACTAAGAACTCCATGTTAAAATTTCACTTACAACTAAAAATAATTAAATAAACTGTACGTGTTTCAGAAATTTAATGGGTTTATAACAAAGTTACTTTTTTAAGAACATAATTAATCTTAAAAGAAAAAAGAGAGATTTCGATACTATGTAATAATAAAAAATTTTTATTCAAGAATGCCTCATACAAATAGAAAATTAATCCAATATATACTGCATATTGTATACTATGTGCAAATAAAAATTTAAATTACTTACTTATAGCCACTACTAACAACACTTGAAGAACTGTTTTGATTATCACTATTACTGCTGAAAGAAAATCAATATCGTATGTTAAATACAATTTTACGGCACATCAAAATTTCAAAAATAATACTGATATTTGAATAGAAAAATGGGCTTTTAAGTTTTATTTGTAACCATTTTTTTCTTTTGTGATATATTAACTAATAAACATGATGCTAATTTTATGAAGTTGAAAATTTCCATAAATTTAGAGGATTAATCGAGATATCATTAATTTCACATATTACTCAATTTTTAATTTCTGTAGCAAACTCTGAAATATTCGCCATGCGCCAATACTGCCTTCATTAGAATTTATATAAAAATAAAATATGAAGTATTCCTCCTCAATTCAAACCAAAACTTTGTTACCTGAATTACACCTCTCAAGGTTTCAGGTTAGGCCCAGGTCCTGTAACTACTTAATACTTCTGGAATAAGGAAAATTGTCATTTTTCTACATAACAAAGTTGTCAGGTGTTACTTAGTCAGCTTAATACCATCATTCTAAAGTTAACATGGTGTCACAGGATGAGAAAACCTGTATTGAAGCAAAAAATTTCTATGCACAAATTTCCTACTTAAACACACAATTCAGTTGCTTTACATTTAAACAAAAGCCCACCAACGACAGTGGAGTAAAATCGCTGGACCCTGGTAGTTTTAACCTGGGTTCAACTTCAGGCGAAGGGAATTGGCCCCATAGTCGTTTTCCCCATGTGTAACATGTATACAAAACAGTTTCTCTTAAAAAGGTCTTCCACGAGGACCTAAGATGGGGCAGATAACTCTTGTGCTTTAGCATAATCAATTAAACCACTTAAAAAAATGCATTTAAACAAATAACCTCCTGACTTGATGAAGTAAGAAAAGTTGCTTTAAAATAAAAATTAACTATTAGATAAATAAATGAATCTCTACCATGTTTTATGGTCCTTTAATTGCTTCTCAATGTTAGCACCTATAAAACTGACAATTGCACACACAGTTGTTCCCCTGTATCCATTGGTTAACTTAATTGGCAGAGAGTGAGAATCAGTAAATTTTGAAAGACCACAGAAGTGACTATTATAACAAAGCCAATATGACAGTCAAGTAAACTTAACAGTTTATCCATGCATCTGCACGATGGTTTGGGGTTGAAGTAATTAAATATGAAGAACTGAAATCATCACTGTATAACCTTATATGTATTCAAATTAAAGAAAATCCATCACTATCTGAGCTTGATCATCTTTCTGAGAATCCAACTTGATATTTATAAATATGTTGTTAGAGAATTTTGGTTATCAGTGGTTATCGTATGTTTGACTCCTTGCTCCTGTACTCGTACTTCTTTAAAACTTCCTACCACTCTTATTTAAAGAACTTAACATACTCCCATTAGAAATGTATTATTGTAACTGTTTATTTACCAAAATAGGAGTCTGAAACATACAACTAGAAATACTTCTAAGGTGCCATTAATGCTAGAAAACTGAATAATTTTTATTTCTACAATTCTCTGAAACAGTATGTTATGCTGTACAAAATGAGGACTAAATTTTTTTTCATTTCATGATCATCCTTAGCGAATTAGGTTAAAGTGTTCATAAATTTTAATAAAACACATTGCCACTTCAAAAGATAAGCTTTGCTGCATCACTCTGCCTCGCTATATTCAAACAATTTAACTTAATTTCAAAATATCATATAATTATTGGTAAAATCCTAGTATACGGTGCAGCCTTGGCGCGATTTTGAAAATTATCGCCAACACCAAAAATGATCCAAAGATCAGCCACGTCCTAAGTATAACTATATATATTCTTTGAATGACCCGTTTACTAATCATCGTATATGTCCCGTTTTTACTGCTCATCATAAAGTCGCCAAAAGTAGCTAAATCCCGTGTGCACCGGATACTAGGATTAAACCTAATTATTTTATATCACTCATATTTAATACTACAAAAAATAACATAAGTTGTAATGACACCTGCATTTATAATATATGTGATATAAAAATTATTTGGAATTATTAAACTATCTTGTCTCAGCAGCTACTGCTACAGTGCAGAAAACAGCCAAGATTCTTTAAGTCTTAAAATGAAAACTTCATTATAAAAGCACTTCTACTTAAGGTCTGTCTCATACATTTTTTAGAAAAATATTTTATCTCAAGAAGCTAAACAAAAATTTTGGCAAAATTTCCCTTTCAATATGGATCCTTTAGTCATTTAATATTAATCCTTTAGTGATTTAGATTAAATGGTTCGAAAAAAGATTTTGAATCAGGCTTAAAATGTTAACTTGTAATGTATTTATAAATGAATATTTATACATGTACAGTGAAAAGAAATGAAATCACATAGGCCACATAATAATTGTTACCCACCTATAAAATCAGACAATAAAGCAACTTTATCACCTTATACATTCTTCAATTTTCATTATTTCATCCCATAGCTTTCTCCTAATTTATACTTGACTATAAGTTATTTACAATTTTCATATATAAATTGTTTAAATTTCTTAAATTCCGCACAATTTCCTGCAAATGAAACATTTATAAAATTATATCTCACATTATTATGAATATTCACAAGATGTTATAGTTTACATAGGCTGCATACCGCGGGAACATAAAACAAGTTACACAGAACAAGGACTGTGTTTAATTGAAAGTGCATATTTCATTTGTTTGATTCTATTTGCACCTATATTTGTGTATTTAATTGTTTATTTAGTTATTTTTGCAAAATATAATATCCCTAAACTGAACTTCTGCCTCGCACTGCACATTACTTCTACGCAAAATTAATCAGTTAAAGAAATATCAAATATAGCTCCTCAGCATACACTGACTCATAGAAGATATATCAAAAATGTAAAAATTTGCCATGTAAAATATATATTCATAGATTTAATAACAATAAAGCTCAATTACTACTATCATTTAAAAGTTACTATTAAAAAAACTGCATCCCCCAAAATCAAAGACCTCTGAAATTTTATAACAAAATTTTTAAAAGAATAAATTATTAAGCCCTTAAATACACTTTAATTCAACCCTCATTTTTGCAAGTATATGCATTCATTTTAACAGAGAATAAACATTTTATTGGTAGTTGATTAACTACAAATTTACAGGTTTAAAAGTCAGTCTTTATCAAAATATTATACAAATGAGAATACTGTAATAAACGCAAAACCGTGCTAACAGAACTGATGCCGATAATTTATCTTCCAAATGCATTATAATGTAAACACTGAATGCACACACTTTATGTTTAATTCTATTATATACTTGAATACTGATCAACATGCTTGATTAATTACGAAAATCGATAGAATGTCGAAATCAGTTAATATGAACCTGAACTCTTCCTGATAATCATTTTTAACTCGCAAAATTATTACGTATTAGCACACTTTCATAATTTAGATAAAACATTTCTCGGTAGTAGCTTCACACTATGCAATACGACGATAAAAAAAAATAGTAAAATCTGAGATTTACATATTGTCATTGCATAATGCAAAATTCAATGCACAACTTACAATAATGGAGAAAATTGCGTATCCTTTAGGAAGCGAAAATCCACTAAACTACAGCAACAACGACTATCCTACAGATGTGGATTATGGCAGTTTGGCATATTTGGCGAATTATCGCTTTTCATAATTATGAAACTTGAAATATTATTCGCAGGAAACTAACATGAATGCTCATAATTTCAAATATTATTTTCCTGAATATTATATTAATGAAAAACTGGGTGTACACAAAAAGTAGAAAAAAAAACACGGGCCTAGATACGTAAAGAGTAAACGAATCAGTTACACTTTAAATGTAGCATCATTCTTAATCATATACGTCAGATAAAATAAAAACAACAAAAGTATGCTGCAAAACTATCACAGATTTTGTGCAATCTGGCTAAATTAAAAATATGTTTCATATCTGCTCACCATAGCACGTAGGACTTTCACATCCGAATACACATCCCTATATCGCAATCAACATCCCTATTTCGCATCAACCTACTCACGTTTTCGACGGGACACTTGAGTCCTTGCGCTAGCTTATTGGCTGAAAGAACGTCATGCGTCATTTCTGTTGAGAAGGGGGATGGTAGTGTACAACAGGATGTTCTTTCTTACTTAGTCTATTACTTCTTTCTTTTACTGGTAATATCGATTTTCGTGAAGTAGTAATTTCTTTTGTCATACTTAAAGAGGTATAAAAAATTCAAGGGGGCAAAAGTAGTTTAAAAAAAGTATGTAATTTATACTAAGTGAAAATATTCTACTAGAAAAATGAAATTATTTTTTATATCCAGTATAGAAATATTGCACACCTATGCGTAATTCATACTGCTATTCTATGAAATAGTCATTACATCATTCAATTACAACGAATTTTATTATTTTTTAAAAATCATATCATGGTTTATGCACCATATGAATTTACTATAAAATATTTATTAGAGTAATATTCATTCAAAACTTACCATATTCCAAACCCAATAAAAGATTAAAGTTTACTATGAAAAAGAATTGTTGACAAACAACGCCAATGCAATATATGACTTGAAAAATAATCAAATTCTATATAAATGTTCGCCCCGCCAATGGTGAAGCAGTTAGTACGTAAGTACCAAAAATGTTTACTTATTCAGGTACCATTATTTATGAAGGAAAAAAGTACTAATTACGTAAAAAAGAACCTTGTATTCTTTATTCTTTTCCTTATAATTTAATAATATTAATAATAATTATACAATTTCTCCCTAATATATATTTTTTTTCATTCTTTTCCCTAATAATTTCGACTTTTCACATACTTCAGGTGCAGAGCTAAATGGAAAGTTTTATTTCAAAGGAACATGATAGTTTAAGTACTCATAAAAAGTATCCATTAGGTAAATAATAAATCATGCGAATCAGACATATTACAAATTCTCAAAATCAGATATTAAAAACAAAATAAACAATGGCTCTCATAAGTGTTGGGATACCTTAGATTCTGGTGAAAAGTGATATAAAAGAGCTTAAATCAGAATATTTTCCCATAGTATTTAATAATTATATATATCCCGTCGTATTTAATTGTATTTAATAATTATATTAAAAGTGCATTTTCTGTTGTTTGAAATATTTATAAAAGAGTTTAATGAAGGAGACTGACTATTAAACATAATAAATAAATAAGTTTTATTCATTTATTATGTATAGAAGATTTGAATTTACCCAAAGGGACAGAATATATTCACAAAAATATTAAGAATTAGTAGGTTAAAAGCTACGAAGCTCCGTGCATAGTTTAATAAAATATTAAATACATCATTTTTTTACCAGCCTGAAAAGTAATTAGATAAGCCAGATATTAAACTTTTTAACAAATAACAGCATAAACAACTTTTCGTAATATTAATAATAATAAAAATACTTCGGTCTTATTTAGAAAATTATGATAATTATACATATAATCTATGATTAAAAGAAAGTTTAATTTTAATGCAATTAATTCGAAATATGTAGATTACAACAGCGTCGACTCTAGGCATTTTGCCGGCCGGTGCAATCTGTTCGGATACTAAATTCTACCGCGCTGTGCCTCCTTAAATTCTAAACATTTTGCCGGCTCCAAATTCTGCTGCTCAGTGTTTCTCTTAAATTCTAAAAATGTTTGCAATCCTTAAATTTAGCTGCTCAGTGTTTCTCTTAAATTCTAAAAATGTTTGCAATCCTTAAATTTAGCTGCTCGCTTCTTGAATACATTCTAAAACTTCCATTGCTCCTAAATTCTGTCGCAGGGGTCTCCGATCAGCTCTGGCGTCGGCCCTGACGACAAAAAATTTAATATTGGACATACGAAAGGTTCTGCTGTTTTTCATGACAAATACAAATGAAGCAGCTCACAGACGAACATTTTCATTGAAACACATAAGTGCCATTCTATGACATTAGTCAAAAGTAAAAGAAGTACTGTAATCGTAGAAAAATTTTCGGTATCATATTTCAACAAAAAATTCATTTTGACCGCTCTCGAATCCATTTGAACCACGTTTCTGCGTGACATCTGTACATACTGACAGGATAAACGATTCTTGTTTCCCAAAATGGATTTAAAAGACTCAGACCTTTTTCGTCACGTCTGTACGATGTACGTACGTACGTATGTATGTATGTATGTATCTCGCATAACTCCAAAAACGTTGAAATTTTGTATATGGGACTACTATAGCATGTAAGTTGTGCACCTCCTTTTTTGGTTACAATCGGCCATATATATATACACTCACTCTGCAACCAGGCTCTTATGTTCCTGTTAAGATTTTTATGTCTCTCATTAATATGCAGGGAATAGTTGTAGAATTATAAACAATCTAAAAGTTATTTAAGAGGTACTAAGCCTAAGGCAGCCGCCATTTGTTTACATTTAAAGCTCTTAGTAGAACAGTGAATCAAGTCAGTTTGTGCACCAACTTCAGTGTATTTTTGCCGCATGGGACCAAAAGTAAGCTTTCAATTTTGTGCACGGAAATAGCTGTCTTCCTGCCTGCTTGCCGAATTGCTTGTGTACTAAACTCTAATTTTAACTGTAAAAATATTTTTTTAAATTTTTTAACTGCCTTTGGTGTTTTAAGGGTTTTTTTTTTTTTTTTTTTTTTTTTTTTGTGTGTGTGTGTGTGTGTTGTGTGTGTGCGTATATTTTACAATTTTTTTAATGAAGATGTTTTAAGTTTTCATGTATTTTTAATCTGCTAGCGTAATATAATGACCAAGAAAAATCAATAGATTAAACTATAGATGTTTCTAAAGCAATACTTTAAATAGTAACTCGAAAGTGATAAAATTTTTTTAAAAAAATATTTAGAAGTGCGTAATTTTGAGATTTGCCACGGGTGTCAGAACATTATTAGAGGTGTTTGAATATCATGTTGATGAGTCAGTGATTGGAAGTGAGCAAGTATCCATACATCAATTTAATTCTGAACTATTTTGACGCTAGTAACTTCTATAGTGGAGTCTTTTTAGTTTGGAAAGCACATAAGTTGGTTAACAAACTGCGTAATTCAAAAGTAATAAAGGTTCTCCTAGTATACGGTACACACAGAATTTGGCAACTTTTGGCGACATTATAATGAGAAGTAAACGCGGTATTATGATGAACAGTTCGTTCCCCACTTACGAATGAGTTACGCTCCGAACGACCGTTCATAGAATGAATTTGTTAGTTATATACATCTATGTTCGTTTAACATATCTTCTAACGATGTTCGTGAGGTAAAAACTATAAATACTATCAAATAACTAATTAAAAACACCAGAACAAAAAAATTAAATTTTAAATACAGTACATTATAAATAAAATATATAAATAAATAACTACTTCACTATACAGTACGTACCTTGGATTGTTGTCTTTTAGGGCATGCGTGGGTGGGGTGAGGATGAGGCTAGCAGATCTTTACAAAAGTGGGCGGGTGAGTCAACATCTGACTCGCCCTCTGAAGACTCAATAGACAAGTAACGGGGCCATTTTGTGATGAGGAGGCTGTATAGAAGGTGAAAGGAGTTGGCGTGTTAGATGGGCCAGCAACACCGATTTCTGAAGTGTCTTTCTTAAGAAAATAAGTGGCTAAACTGTCTGAACAAGTTTCTTTTTTAGTCGTAAATAAGGCGATAGCACTGTGTGGCATAATGCACAATTTACCATTCCATTATTTATTTTCTTTCGACTCGGAACAGATTTCACTTTTTGTGAACAGGTTTGTTCGCATCTGCGAAAGTTCGTGAAGTGGGGAGCATCTGTCTGCGTAATATATGTAATTAATATAATTTACAGGTACATCCAAATGATAATTTTTATAATCATTTGCATAAGAGATCTTTCTAAGTAAACCCCGGCTTCAGCAGCTCCCACAGGCCAAATTAGGGCAAGATCTGTGTCAGAACCTAAGGCAGGCTTCAAGCTGTCCATGTAAGTACTGGTAGGAGAAAGAAGACTAGTCAAATCTCTAGGTTCATAGTCCACCCCACAGTGGTCTTTGGTCGCCGGGAGTGGTGACCCGGTGAGTTAGTGGTGTGTTTAGGAGAATTTTTAAAAATCCATTGTCCCGGGAAGTGTGGGACCCGCGCTTCGACAAAGGAATTTGTTCAACATCTCCAAGGTGGCTTTTGATTAATTTGCCTACTTCTTGTATAAAACGGAAGTTTTCATCTGGATATCAGTGCGTAAAGTGACTTTCATTAGTTGGAATACTTAATATAGTTTGATGGATGTCATACCCTGCGTTTGAGGTGATAGAATTAAGTGACCTAAAAGTATTGTCTGAAAGGAATCCTGTTACCAAGACCAAAAAACAGACTCGGACTATTTGGACAGGTTTAATAATGGAATAGTGTGCATATTAATGGAAAAATACTACGGTCCGTTGTCAGTTATCACACCGTACAAATAATAATTAATTAATTAATTAATCCATCAATTACAAAAAGGTTATTAGTAATCCACATATAACACATCATAATGTCTAGAAACTTAGTACAAGCATCATATCGTTTAATGAGAAGTATTCAAACCGTGGTACATTCAACAAAGCGTGGGGAAGACTAAATTGTTTGTACGCATGGCACACACTCTGCACAGATAACATCTTATCACACTACTTCGTGAAGAGTCAGAAAGTTAAAATTTTACATGCATTTAACAATTATTATAACACAGTATTCCGTTAACCATTGGGCCACTAATGGGATGGGGAGAATGACAGAATACAAAATTTAGGAAATTTTTCAATTCGCAGATTCTAATCTTTCCCGAAATTGAAAAATTTACGCGATGAAGTTTCTCTATATGAAAGATGAATTCTTACATAAGTCTGAAGACAAATAGATAATTAACTCATTATAATAAGCACACGAGTCCAGTGATGTACCTCTCGACAAACGTCCAGTATCCAAGAGAAACATTAAATTTAAAAACTGCACAGAAATATCGCCCTCATATTTCCGAGTGGCAACAGTGCT